CCATCCATTCATCCATCCATCCACCCATCCATCCACCCATCCATCTACCACTCCACTTCCCACCCATCACCTGCCCACTCACTCATCTGTCCATCTCACACTCAGTCACATGTATCGTTACTACTCTGTACTAGATTCTGGAAAATTTCCAGTTGGCCACTGGAAAAGATCCCAAGTTTCATGAGACACACACTGTAACATCAGGTGTAGATTTGTCCTAATCTTTATATTTCCCACTCCTCTGCTATGTTCTTTCCCCTACCTTGGACACCCCTATGTTCCTTTACGACTAAAAATCTCGTTCCACAAGGCACTCTTGCTTACAGCAGCATATCTGAAGCCCCAAGACATTAGGTAACTTGGCAAAGATCACACTGGTTCAGAGCAGTCCTGGACCTAGAACCCATCTGTGGCTGTGCAGGTGGATTGTCTCTATCACTGAGGTAGCGAAGAACAGTGGGGCGAAGAACAGTGGGGCGAAGAACAGTGGGGCGAAGAACCAGAGGGTATTTGGTTCACCCCAGGTCCCCTGATCCCTCCCTGGGGACATGGGCACGTCACTGACCTCTGGCAGTCCTCACTCAAACTCCTGCCTGGACTGGGTATTGTGGAGGGAGGGCAAGAAGGCATGGCCATGCCCACCCTGTGTGGGGCACACAGTAAGGGCACAGGACATGGAACAGCTGTTACATCATAGCAGGGGTTACAGTGGCCCCAGAAAGAGACACCTCTGCCTTGTCCGCCAGGGCATCTCACTCCCCATTCCCTGGTGGAGAGCTCAGAAATGCCTCCAAGGGGGAAACTGGGGCAAGCCCTGCTTTAAGCACACCAGGTATGTGACAATCCACTGCCAGCCTCTCCGCCATCCACATGGGGTCTGCTGATCCATGAGGTCTGCGGATTCACAGGGTCTGGAAACGGGGATGTTTCATTCACAATCTAAAAGCAATAGCGCCCACCCATCAAGCTCTTACTATTTTCAGTGGAGCCACTACTCCCATTTCCCAGTGGGGGACACCACGATTCTGGGAGGAGAGAGGATTTGCTAAGCATAGCTGGGGAGGTGGTCTAAGTTCTTCATGCACAGAGCCCAGTGGTTGTAGAAAACACGGAATGTTCACATTCCCATTGCCAAATGGGAATTCAAAAAATCTTTAAAATGGGCATAATCTCTGAACGAAACAATTCAAATTAGCAAAGTTATTACCAAACCAAGTGTGCAGAAATGTGTCAGTGACCTCTACCTCTGCATTATTTACAGGAGCAGAAACTAGAAACTACCTATATTCCCAGCAATTGTAGACTGGCTCAACAATTTCTGTATGCAGGCAGGCATTCGACGTGACTTGCAGAAGAATATTTGGAGAACTGGGAAAATGTTCCTCTCTATTAAGTTAACAAAAGAGCCCGTGACAACGGAGTGTGCAGAGTGATATTCATGTTTATATTACATTTGCATATCTGTACCCATGGAAAAGAGTGGTTATTGGGGATAGAATAATAAGTGATTCTTACTTTTATCTCTTCTGCTCATATTTTCTGGGTTTTTGCAATGAATAGTATTATTTATACAGTTGACATCTTTAAAAATTTTAAGTTATAGACAGTAGAATTTAATTTTAAAATGGAAAGTGTGCCCCAAGCCCTTCACTGTACTGGAAGGTGGGATGCAGGGGGGCAGGACATCAGTGTAGGGGAGGGGAAGTCAGGCTTACCTTCTCCCGAAGATCCTCTTAGCTCCTGCAGGTCTGGGGCCCACTGCAGGGGTGGCCTGTGCTGCTGGGCCAGGCGGAAGTCCTCCAGGAGCTCTGGGCTGGCAGCACCTGGGAAGGGCTGCTCATTGCCCCAGCCACGTGTGCTGCTTCCAGTTGCATCTTTCTCCTCCTCGGCCCAGGCCCAGCATCGCCGCCTGGATCCTTTCCCCAGGCCTGGCCCGGACCAGTGCACCTCTGTCCCTGAGCTGGCCATGGGCCTGGTGTTCACCTTGGCCACTTCATCTTCAGGAGACCGAGCTGCTGCTGAGCGCCCCAGAATCACCGGCGGCTCCCCTCAGTGTCAGCCATCCCACCTGTGGCCTGTTGGGGACAAGTTGATCAATAGACCACGTTAGATCTGGGGGCTCTTCCTTCATTCAGAACAGCAAGTTACTGGCAAAGCTTCTGGAATCAAATGGTCTTGGTTTAGCTACCTGCTCCACCTTGCCCGCCATGACTGTGGTGATTCACTTTGCCTTCATTCACTTTATCAGTAAAACTGAGATGACAACTCCTCTTTTTTTTTTTTTGGTACTAGGAATCAAACTCAGGACCTTGTGCTTGCCAGGCAGGCACTTACGCCACTGAGCTATATCCCTGGCCTGACAACTCCTCTCCCTGTCCAGGGTTTTATGAAACTGCCTGGGACACAGGGTAAGGTGTCCAGTGACCAGCGCATTGACCAGCAGGTGCTTGAGGTCACTGTGTGCCCAGCTGTGTGCCTGCGTGCTGGGCACAAGGCATGGGCCCTGCTCACAGGAGAACTGACAACCCAGGGAGGGGTGACAGACAGATACCCAGCAACCACAAATCCAGGTGAGGAATGATGGGGAGGCCTGGGCCCAGCCAACGCAGGCCAAGGAGGGTAGGGAAGGAGGCAGCCGAGAAGCCACTTTCTCAGGGAGCCTTCCCTGTCCTGCCTCAGGTAGGAATTCAGGTTGAGAGTGAAGGGATGGTAAAGAGATCATTCTGGTTCCCAAAATAACTGAACACAGGTGCTCAAACAAATAGGATTGATGCCTATAATCCCAGTACTCGGGAGGCTGAGGCAAGAGGATCGTTGTGAGTTTGAGACCAGCCTGGGCTACAAAGTGAGCTCAAGGCCAGCCTGAACTGCCTAGTGAGACCCTGTCTCAAAAAGACACACATAAAAATACACAAGTCCATATGTGTCCACAGCAGCCAAAAGGAAGAAAGAGCCCAAGTATCCACCGATAAACAATTTCTGATGTCTCCATGCAGTGCAATGTTACTCAGCCATACAAAGGAATGAAAGGGGGAAACAAAAAGCAAAGAAGCCCTGGCCCACACTACAAAGAGATGAAGCTGAAGGCACCCTGCTAAATGACAGAAGCCAGACCCAGAAAGCCACATAGTGTAGGATTCCACGACAGGCCATGCCCACCCTAGGCAAGTCCACATACAGAAAGCAGACCAGAGGGTGGAGGAGGCTGGGGGAGAGCAGGGCAGTCCACAACTGTGTAGTGGGCATGGATTTCCTTTTGGGGGATGAGGATGTCTTGGGTAGAATGGATGCTTACCAGCAATGTGTACTAAATGTCACAGAACTGTTGCCTTTTAAGTGGTTAACTTTCTGTTATGTGAATTTGATCCAATAAAGAAAAAAAGCTAGGAAAGAATCAGCAAGTGCGAAGGCAGGAGCAGGAGGGGCCGCACCTGCCAGGTGCTTTCCTGGACAGCCAAGTGCTTTCTGGAGGGCTATGGTAAGCGGCCAGGGGCCGGTGACAGTGACATCAGGAAGTGCAGACCAGCAGAGGGCAGACCTAGGCTGGCTGCTCTGGCCCTGTTCAGCTCCAGAGCATGATAGAAGGTTCAGCTTAGAAGTTTCTGCTTTGGCCGGGAGCGGTGGTGCACACCTGTAATCCCAGCACTTGGGAGGCTGAGACAGGAGGATCACTGTGAGTTCAAGACCAGCCTGGGCTACAAAGTGAGCTCAAGGCTAACCTGAACTGCACAACAAGACCCTGTCTCAAAAAAAAAAAAAAGAAGTTTCTGCCTGGGAGAGGGAAGCAGAACAGGAAGTCTGGTTGCAGAGGGACATGCTAGGAGGGACTTTGGTGGCAGGGCACGTTGGCCCGAGAAGGGCTCCTTTTTGATCTTTCGCCCATCTTCTCCTCCCCTCCCTCTCATCTCCCTTTGCCTCTGCCTCTCCTCCTGTCCCCAACACTTTCTCCGCACTTCTTGTACTCCAAGCTCTACGCCAGGCCGGGAAACACACAGCCGACGAAGCCGTGGGCACAGCCCTCCCCAGGAGCTCCCGGCCATGGAGGATTCAAAGAAGCACACACAGCCCGTCCATGCGGGGCTCACACAGAGGCCTCCCCTGCAGGTGGGAAACTGAGGCCCAGAGAGAGCGGGGGAGCACACAGACGCCATGCAGGAGGGGGTGGAGTCCGCCTCCCCGTCCACGGCCTGAGCCAAGTGGAGAACAACTAAGGCCTCTGCAGACAGACAGTCTGTGTTTGTCCTTCCGCCTCGTGAGCTCTTGGATCCTGGTCAGCAGCCTTGATTTGCACAGTTGAGAAAAGTCAGCAGGCAACTATTTCTGTACACCAAGTTCCCCAGGGAAAGGCCGCTTCCCAAGGGCTGGGGAGGGACCGTGGTAACTCCCCGCTCTGGCTGCACCCCAGCTCGGGACACAGGCCCAGGGCCTGTCCTCTGCCTCCTGCCTCCCACCCTGTCCTCCTCTCTGCCCAGCAATGCAGGGTCCTGGATTCCTCCACATCGCCTGATGTTACCCCCACCTCATAATGCCCCCTCCCCCGTGTATGGGGCCCCACTCTGCCTCACTGGCTGAACTTCCTCTCAGTCTGCCTGCAAATGACAACCTGAGGCTCAATAGGGAACAGTGACTTGCCCAAGATCACCTGCTAGATCAGTGGCAGGGCAAGATCTGCAATCACCAGTCCTGGCCCAGGCACTCTCCTAATTTTTCTTTTAATCACACAACCCACTGGTAAAAATATACTGGCCCAAATACATACATATATACATGTGTATATTTCTTATCGCTGTACATACCTGTACTAATACGTTACATGTATTAGAAAAAGCATTTCCAAGCCAGGTATAGTGAGTGGCACATGCCTGTAATTAGAGCTATTCTGGAGGTTGAGGCAGGAGGATCTCAATTTGCAGCCTAACCTGGGCAATTTATAAAGACTCTGTCACAAAGAAAATGAAAAAAGGGCTGGGAATGTAACTCAGTGGTAGAGTGGTTGCCTAGCATGTGCAAAGCCCCGTGTTCAATCCCCAGTGCAGACAAAAAATAAAACAAACAAACAAAACCTCCAAAAGTAAGTACTTCAAGAGCTGCAATCGAAGTTTTCTAAGTAGACGTTTTGGTCCTCACTCCCTACACCCTCTGCCTGTGCCCCTCCTAGAAGCCCCTGGCTTGGCAAGATCTTCGGCTTGAGCGTGCTGAGACCCCTCCCAGCACGCAGATGCCTGGGGCTGCCTGCAGTGAGCCTGGCCCAGGAACCTGCATTTTAACCAGGGCCTCAGGCAGAGTTGTCTTAGGACCTTCTCCAGGCTTTGCTGCTGCGGCTAACGTCGGAGGTGCTAGGGTTAAAGGTGCAGCCTCTGCTTTTCTGTCTGAAATGCCACTGCGGAAGGGGCCCTGGGGTGGAGGGGGGTGTGTGGTTTTCTGACTTTTAAAAGGGCTTTTTCTAGCCCTGCCACAGAGCAGCCTGCCCAATCAGAGAGGCCTCTGCGAGCACAAAGAGGAACATCCTGTCTTCTGGGATGACTCAGAAGTCGCAGAAATCTCACTGCAGCCAGGGGATGCTGCACGTCGGAGGCAGCTGAGGTCACTGGATGCAGTTTTCCAGACAATCGTGTCCCCAGGCCCCTGAATCTGTGAGGCTTTCCAGGCGAGACCTTTGTCTTCCATTCAAGCCCGGCCCACAGTGCCATGGAGCTCAGGAGTGGCTAGTCAGACAGTCAGTCAACAAACACACATTAGCACCGACCATGTGCCAAACTCAGGTTGGGGTGGAGCTGGGACAGAGACTAGGTCCCTGCCCTGGAGCTGCTGCTACTCACAGTGTGTGGCTGGGCGGACACTGTGCCTCGTGTACATGCAGAGAGCTCCAGCTGCCCTTGCTACTGCAGGGGTTTGGTCCTGCTGGGGCAGGTGGGAGGCAGGGCCTGTGCTACACGAAACTTGAGGTTCTTCACTGACCGCTCCTTCCTGAGGTCACGGCTCAGAGGACCAAAGGTACATACTGAGTGGTGCAAATGAACGTTCTGAAGAGCCCTGGGATTTCTTAGGACTACTCAAGACACAAGGGATAGAGAAAAGAACAAAAACTTTCCCAAATCCCACACAGCAGGGAGGGGTCCGATGCAGGAGGAAGCTTAGGGAGGCCTGAGAACAAAGTGGGTTTGGGGGAGAAGCACGAGGAAGGGTGCCCCGGGCAGAGGGAACAGCACACGCAAGGCAGGGGGTCTAGTACGAAGTGAGCTTGAAGGCGAGCTAAGGGCGGGCTCCTCGCATGCCGGGGGAAGTGTGGCTCCAGTCGGCCTTCCCAGCCCCTAGGTGGGCTGTGGGAGGGCTCCAGCCACGTGAGCGGTGAGCTGACCGCATGGAGTCTAAGCTTCCCAAATCCACGCCACCCCCTCTGTTCTCTCAAGGGTTGAGCAGACCCCTGTGGTCTTTTCTCAGTTCGTGAACGAGCCCAAATCCAACCTCCTCCATCCAGAAGGGGGCTTCTCTGACCCCTCAGCCATCGCAAAGCCCAGGACCCTCCCCTTTGTGGCCCTGTGTCTCAGAACCCCCCAGACGGCAGGGTGCTCCTTTGCCAGTACAGCCACTTCTGCCTCCTGCGGCCTCTGAAGCCCCTTCCCCTCCAGCCAGGGCTGTCCAGGGCGTCCCCCACCCCCACCCCTCCCTGATGTCTCTTAAATAAGAAACTGAGGCACGGGGCCTCAAGACCTCACAGCCAGGAAATGGAGCCCCGGGATTCAAAGCTGAGGTATTATTACTCGGATGCTGAGGCCAGCAGACTCTTGCGGGGCTTGAAGAAGGGAAAGAAGACCCCGTATCAATCAGGCAGTGGGGCCCTGCGAAAAGGCTGGGCTGTTGAACTCAGTGGCCAGTGGCCTGGCCCCTGACCCCCTGGCAGGACAGAGAGCTACTGACCCAAAGCCCCAGCCACCGCTGTCAAGGTGCCCCTGCTCCCAAGAGAAAGAGAAAAGATGCCCAGGTTGTTTCGCGCTCTGGCCTCGCCATCCCGAAGGGCCCAGCTGGCCTGCCGGTCCTCAGACCCACCCCCCAACACTGTTCCTTGTCCCTGTGCTTAGGCGGCAGAAAGGGCCACTTCACGGGGGGGGGGGGAGGACCCCACTGCCTCCTGACCTGCCCCCACCTTGTATATCTCCGAGTCTCCTTAGCAATCACAGCACTAACTCTCCAGGAGCCGAGCGCAGAGGGACCGTTGCTAGTCCAAGTTCTCCAGAGAACAGAATCAAAGCTGAAACTGCAATCTAGCATCTGGGGTTAGACAAAAATCCCCCTAAAACCCACCCGCATTGGGATGGGGCTCCCCTAAGCGGGAGAGAAGTGGTAACAGCTGCGCAGCGGTGACTTCCTGGCAGGCTGGTCCGGCTGCCTGGGCTGGGCTGTCCGGGAGAGCCTGTGACTGGTCCGTCCAGCTCGGAAGGCGGCCTCCCCGCCGGCCCTCCTCCCGTGTCCCCGGCTCCCTTACCTCGCTCCGGCTCCACCAGCGCCCTGCAGGCCAGGGCTCAGGGGACCTGCCTGTGAGGTCTTTGTTCCAGACGTGGGGAGCCCCCTGCCTCCATCGCGCCCTGGCCCGCCTCCAGGCAGCTCTGCCAGCCCAAGCTGCTGCGGCTTGAAGACCAGCATCGCTCCCCACCTCTCCCCGCCCCTGAGCAGCTGAGGCGCTGCCTCCTCGCAGGAAGCGCCCAGCCTGATTTCCTACAAGTGTTTGTTAGAAGGAGGGGGTGAGCAGCATGCAGAGCGGGAGCCAGAAGCTTAACCCCTTGCGGGGCAGGACAGGGCTCCTTAAAACCCTGGATCTCACCCTCCAGCCTCCCGGTACAGACTGGGAGACTGAAGCCCAGAGAAGGCCAGAGGCTTGGCCAGGCCCCGTTGCAAGCTGATGCTGGGAGGAGGCCTCTGCACCCTTAATTCCCACCCCAATAGTTTCTGTAGCTCCCATCTCTAGGCCCTCCTCAACCACACATGACCTCGGCAGTGGCACCCTCCCTTGCTTAGGCTTCAGTGTTCAACTCTACAGTGGGAGCTCGTTCTCACCCTTCTAGTCCTGACTCTGTCCTCTCTGCCAGTATGTGCCCCCTATCTCAGGGAGGCTGCAGTGATTCATGCTGTCTCAGCCACTGTCCTCACCCTGAGTCTACTCACTAGGTGGAATTTTCCAGGTACCATGGAGGTAAGGAATGATATGATCTGTTGATTTTCCCCTAATGCAAATTCCTTCCTGGGGCTCCCCAGAGGTCAAGGGACAGATGAACCCTTTTGGCCAGGCTACCTTTTCCCAAGCTGCCCTCAGCAGATCACTCACTCACCAGCCTTGCTCTCTCTCCACGCAGACATGGACGGTGATGAAGTGCCGGTGAGACTTCCGGGAGGAGGGTGTGCAGCGAGTGGCGCTCTGGTCCCAGGCAGCCTTGGGCGGCTCTGATGCCCAGCACTTACCCGGCTCAGAGAGCTCAGTCTCTGGCACCAGCAGTTTCAATCATCCCTGGTGGCTGGGACACAGGCTGGCAAGGGAGCTGGGACCGAGAGTAAGGGGTTGAGAAGAAGCTTGGGACCAGGAAGGTGTCTGTGAGGAGGCGACAAGCAAGGGACCGGAAAGAAGGTGGGGCCCAGGCAGGCGGCAGGCAGGGCTGGGCTGAGCGTTCTGGAAGGGAAGTGTAGAGGCCCTGGGTGGGAGCTGCTGCGTCCCCTGAGGCCAGCAAAGCCGAGCACCCAGAGCGAGAGGCAGGGGCTGGGGTCTGAGGGGAAGGGGCTCAGACACCTGGCTCCCAACTGTGACCCCATCCTTGGCCCAGGAAACAAGCATTAAAAGCACAAGAATGGCCCTCTGAACTGTCTATGCGCCCTCCCTGTGACTGGTGAGCGGCCAGGTTCTGGAAGCACCTGTGTTGCACAGAATGAGGAATCTTAGGGCCTACGGGGTCTGGGCTCCACCCCAGCCCTACCTCATGCTGCTTGGGGGCCATTGAGCCTTTGCCTCTTTAAGCCTCGGTTTCTTGTCTGTGAAATGGGAACAAGCAGAGTAGCCCCCTGCAGGACTGCATTCAATGTTCCAGGAGGCAAAGCTTGCCAAGTGCAGGGCAGGGGACCTGGAAAGGGCTGTCCCTTCTCCTGCTGTTTCACTGCTACTGCCCAGGTACAAGTCTCTGGTCGCTCCAAGGGCTGGATCTGAATGCCCTGCTTTGGAGCCTGGCACCCCGGTTGTGGGTAATGAATGGGGTCACTGAATGAATGAATGAATGAATAAAATTTCCCAAGGTCAACTTGTGAGTATCTGGCTAACCCAGGACTAGAGCCAGGCGCCCTCCCTGCGCTCATCTCCCACCTCCTCCACCTCCTCCCTGCCTTTATGTGCATCTGGTGGTGGGCTCGACCATGGAGCAGAGCCAAACTCTAATGAGGCCCCTCCCCGCCAGCTCTGGTGACCATGTGGGCCATTGTGCAGGGGGCCGGCTTCCCTGACATCCTGTCACTCATTCATCGTCCTCCCGGTCATTAACCCAGGCAGTGCTGCCGTCAATGCCAGGTGGCTACCGCTATAGCCACGCCCAGTAGCCCCGGGCACCCTGAGCCCTCCTAGGGGCAGCCTCCAGAGCCCCATGCCATCTCCTTGCCTTGCGCCCGCAGTGACACCGTCCCTGCTCACGTAGCCAGAGCAACACGTGCAAAGCTGAGCTCCTGACAGTGCCCCCTCCAAGCCCGCATCTTTCCTGCGGAGCCACAAGCCGGAATGCATGGTCGCTCTGGCCACTTGTCAGCCTTGCAGGGACAGCTCTCCGCTCCTCGTCCCATCCCCCGTCTGCACCTGTGGGATCTGCCAAAGCGCGCACTTCCATACGTGGTCCCTCCACGCTTAAGGCATATGAGGGGCTGTCTGCGGCCCTGGGAAAGCAGATGCTGCTTGAGCCTCCTTCTCTTGCCCAGGTACTTCTGAATCTGGGGCCTCCTTGCAGGTCCTGGGACAGGCATCCTGCTCCTCCTCCCAGCCAGCCCCACAGCTCCCTGTTACTTCTGCAGGTGGCCTGCAGACCTGGCTCTGGTGGGCCCTTCTGGGGGACTCGCCATTTGGATGTATACTGTGATGATCTGTCCCACATCGGTCCCTATGGCTCCTGCACTCAGCAAGGGCTGACACACAACAGAAATGCCAAAAGTATACCTGGGCTCATCCACTATCCCTAGCTAGTTGCCCCGGCCTGACCCGTAGCCCTCTAACAACCCAGTGAGCCTGGTGTAAGGCACCCATTTTACAGCTGGGTAAAGTCTCCTAGCACCAAAGCAAGTTGCCCAAGGTCACAAAGCTGGTGAGCATCAGTGAAGATTCAAACACCCAAGCTCCCAGGTCGTAAGGACCCAGCTGTGTTCATGCCCTGCAGCCTGCAGAGGTCATTAATACCTGTGCCTGATAACATCAGAACAGAGCTATGACCAGCTAGCTAACTACACCATAAAACTCACTGACTTCGTAATAAGGTGCTGTTTCACAGTGTTCAGGTTTTCCAAAGGTCTTTCTCCTGTTTCAGAGCTCTAGAGAGAGGCTTGAGAGTAGCTTTGGAGGCTGGGGATATAGCTCAGCAGCACAAGCGCCTGCCTAGCAAGCACAAAGTTCTGAGTTTGATTCCCGGTACTAAAAAAAAAAAAAAAAAGAATGGCTTTGGGACGTGGGTGAGACAGAGGTATTATTCTGTGGTGTAGATGGGCAAACCAAGGCCCAAGAAGGTCCAGCAGGCCTCCAGCAATTTGCCCCTGAGCCTCAGGGTCTCAGCCACTCACCCCTACCCCCTGCTGCATCATCCCTGCATCATCCCTCCCTCCCGCCTCCTCCTCCTCCCTCATCTCCAGACAGGAAGGGGCCCTGGCTCTCCTTAAGCCTCATGTGCAGCGCATCACCCAGGGACCTGGTGGGCCACGCCTGCACAGACACCTCTCCACTCCACGTCCTGAGGCCCAGAAGGCAGTTAGGTCCCCAGACTTGTCAGCCACCCTGGGATTGCTGAGTTTACCCTGAGGTTAAAACCCACAGGAGCCTGCGATGCGGCAGGTGAGGATGTTGGGAGCGGACCAAGAATGGACGAAAGCCTGGCTTGGGATGTGGAGACCCCAGGCCCAGCCTGGGGACCTGGGACAAATACCTCCTCTTCTTAGAGCTCTGGAACCCAGAAGTTTCATGAGGTGACCTCTGGGGTTCTCAGAGATTATCCTCTAACTCAAAACCCGCTGGGTTTCCCACACAGCAGGCCTGCCATGTTGGTGGGCAGCTGCAGGGCACATGGGCCTTGTAGGCAAACAGAGAACTCCACAATCGCCCTTGGAGGCTGTGTGGCCTTGGGCAGCTCGTTTAACCTCTCTGAACCCCAGATGCCTTATCTATAAAATGAGGGTGACACTGACTTGACAGGCTTCTTGCGACGATAAATTATGTGTCTAAAGTTCTTGGCCTGGCGCCCAAATGGTATAGCAACTGCCTGCGAATAAGGGCTGTGGGCTTAGTGAACTGCTGATAGGACCCACTCCCATTCCCCTGACTCTGGAGTTTCCCCAGTATCAGTCAAAGCTCTAGCCTTGGGTCCCAGACTCAGAAGGGAAGCCAGCCCTCCCAAAGGCAGGGGAATGCTGCCATCTCCCTATGACCCCCAAGCCAGTTCTCAGGCCACTGTTCCAAACAGAAACTGTCCCTACCCACCCTGAATTGTGAAGGAGGGGAGCGTATAGGCCTCCTTAGCCAACTGAGCCATGGGTTATGAGGAGGGTGTGGCCATATGGGAAACAGGTTCTCTCTCTCTATTTCTCTGTCTCTCTCTCATTCATGTTCTTCTCCAAAAGCCAAATTTTAAGAAAGTGCCTATGCCCAGAATGTACTGTTAAAAGCAAAACTTTATTGAGCACCTATTATGGGTCAAATACCTCAAAAATGTCTTTTCATGGATTAGTTCTCAGTATTCAATCCTCATACCAATCCAAGGAGACAGAAATTTTACAAGTGGGCTTGAACCAGGCTGTCCCAACCCAGAAGGCACAATCTTCATCATGTTGTGACTGAAAATTACAGTAAGTGAAAAGGTTGAGAACAACCTCTGTTCCCAAACACAGAAATTAATTATGATAGTTCTACTCAAAAGAATAGTATACAGCTAGCAACAACCATGCTTTAGAAGAATAAAAAATAGCATTAAAATCATGACATGTTAAGTGAGCAAGCCAGTTATAAAACAATACATATCAAGTTAAAGTCTATTAAAGTAAAAAAAAAAAAAAAACAGAAAAATATATAGAAAGAGAAGGGGGCCTGGGGATTTAGCTCAGCGGCACAGCACCTGCCTGGCAAGCACAAGGTCGTGAGTTCGATTCCTGGTACCAGAAAAAAAAAACCAAAAACCAAAAAATAGAAAGAGAAGGAAAGGAAAAGGAAAAAGAAAAGAGAAAAAGAGAGACATCCCAAAATGTTTAAAATAATTATCACTAGGTAGGAGAATTACAAGCCAGTTTACCCGTTTTCTTTGTGTATATTTTCTACAGAGAACAGTTGCTGTAAAAATAAGCATAAAACAAACATTTTCTTCCATTTGAACAAACACAAACACCCCCCCACACACACACACACATCTGTGCAGTGCCTCCTTCTCTCATGAGACGGGGCAGGCCCCCCTCAATGTCCCCACCGTGACCTCTGGGAAGAGTGGCCGTGCTCTCCAGGGGCCCCTGCTGCTCTGACACCCGCGACCTTCTGTGACACCCCCACCTTCTCCTCACAGTAAGTTCCGGTACCACGTACTGCTTGCTGCACGTGTAGCCGTTGCGCAAATGTGAAAATCACCCAAAGGAAAGGAAGCAAGCAGAGCCCAGCTGTGGCCACTGTTAGCACTGAGGAGCATGGGCTGTGCTGTTGAGTTGGATCCTCGTAATTAATCAGGCATTTAACAGAGGAGTAGGGGCTGGGGATTTAGCTCAGCGGCAAGGTCGTCAGTTCGATTCCTGGTACCAGAAGAAAAACAAAAAACAAACAAACAAACAAAAAACAGAGGAATAAAGGCTCAGAGAAGGCATACAACTTGCCTGAAGCCACACGGTGCTTTAGGAGAAGATCTGATCTGCACCCACAAATTAGGCATCATCTTCCGAATGAATCCTTACTGGGGAGCTCAGATAGGCTGCCTGGACCCTTCTGGCCAGTCCCTGGCCTTCGACTGTGGTCCCAGGACAGGACCCGGAAGAGGCTGACAGCTGCGCATCCCACGTTGGCCTTGATCTTGGCCCCTCCCCAAGAACGGGCTCAGCAGGTGATGGGAGTAAAGTAAGGACCAGGGGGGCTGGTGTGGGAACAGCCCACGGAGGAGCGGGGGTTCTGCTTGGGAGCCCAGCTGGAGCGTGGCTGACACCTGGCAGGGGAGACAGAATCACAGCGGGACTGCAGGACAGATGGAGGAGGGTGAGGCTAAAACGCGAGGCTTTGGGCTGGGGCCTGAGTCCCAGCTGGCAGATGAGACCTTGGAAGTTTGTTTTGGAACCTCTGGCAGTCTCACCTACGGCCTGAGGCCGGGGACTGCTCGCCCCCTGCAGGCCGGTAAGGGAGCTCGGCACACAGGCCAGCTCGGAGCCAGGGCAGCCATGCACCTCTACTCAATGGGCCACGGTGCTCACCTTTCTGCCAGGTCTTTCACCTCCATAAGGACTGTCCTACAGCTGGCATCTTTGGGGCTGAAAGACCAGATGTTTTGGCCTGGAACTCGGGCTCCAATTAGCTCATCCCCAAGTCAGGGCTTCCGCACCACAAAACTGCACGGTGGCCTGAGAGCCTAGAGCAGGCTGGCACCTTCCCAAACCGTGCTGCCTGAGGTTTGACCTTCCTGATCAGTTCCCAGGAGCCCCCGGGTCTGGGCTCCCGGTAGAAGCAAGGCTGGCCTCCTACCCCCCAGTGCCCTTCACACACAGTGCTCTTAGAAAAAGAAAAAGGCAAGACAAGCCCCCGATGGGGGGCATTTACCAACTCCCTGGTATAAATTTCTGACTGTAGCCAATTTCAAGCTACCAGAGTGAAGATAGTAAAGAACACGCTGGGGAGAGATGGAAACAATCAACTCTCACGCTCCCGTGTGTCCCAAAGTAAGGCCCGGGCAAGTCCACTGAAGAGCTGTGTGACTTCAGGAAAATGACACAATCTCTCTGAACCTCCCGCCTCTCATCTGTAAGATGGAGCCAACAATAATGTCCCTTTCATGCACTACAGCATGAGACCGAGTGGTGGAATCTAGTTGGGCTGTGTGCTGGGAACTGGGGAATGACAGAGGTGACAGAATAGCTAGGAGTTCTTGCTGTCCTAGACCACACATCTTGCAGTAAAACCCCTGCCTCCGGGGCTTGGAGGCAGCACTCAATAAACCTCAGCGCTTACTGTCATGCCATTATTATTAACACTGCTGCTGTTCGTTCCTTTCTCTGGGCCTCTGCCTTCCCATCTCTAGGCTTAGAATGTGGCTGAGTGGCTTTCTCTGATTCCGTCTAGCTCTGCCACGCCCATCTGACAGACAGGAAAACCCAGGCACTCAGACCTGAAGCCAGGCCAGGGCTTCCCACAGGGACTCCCCATCGGTCCCACCTCCAGGGGGCCGAGGGAATGTAAGGAGGACCTGGCATGCAGCTGGCCGCACGCAGGCTTTGTCATGCCCCTTCTCCCCGACACAGGAGCACGCTGGGGGAGCACACTGGGGTCCTGGAGCACCAGTTTCCAAAACCCCCTCGCAGCATGAGGGCGGCAGCGCCTGGAACTCCGGATCGCTCTGGTCTCTGGAAACCCCAATCCTGGCGCTCTGGTGAGCCTGCTGGACGGTGGGAGCTGATGAAATCCCCTCGCAAGAGGCTCCCGGATGATCACATGCTACAAATGCAAACCAGCTGGCCTGGGGAGGCAAAGGCCCCACGTGGGCACCCTCCCCCTCCTGCGGAAGAACTGAGCCGGCCCGGGGGAACGAACCCAGACTGTCACCAAAGGACCACAGGTTCCCGACCGCTCGCTGTCAGTAAGTAAACCAGGCTTATCGCTCCTCAAACCTACGAGCAGCTGTTCTGTTTCCTTAACAAAACAGCAAAGACTCAACCCCACCAACTCCAGAGGGGGGTTCTGGGGAGAATCTTTTGGGAAGTCCCTGTATGTGTCTAACCTTAGCCCCTCATGCTTCAGTGTCAGCCAATTTCTTCTGTTCTGGAGCACGGAAACAACGTCGCTTTTCACTGCAGCCTGTCTCAGCTTCTCTCTCAGGTCTGAAATAGCTGGGGGAGTGTTATCAGCAACTCTCCTTTCCAACTGTCCAACTCAGAAGCAGAAGGTTGTTAAACAGAGATAATGATCTGCTCCAAGCTGTCATTTTCTTTCAACTACAGGCTGGTAGAGGAGCCCTGCAAGAGCCTCATGCAAGGTCACACAGCAAGCGCTGCCTCTGCCAGTGCCACCCCCGTCACGCTGGGGAGATAGCAGCTCTGTGCCTCCCCGCGGTGCGCCCTTGGGTAAGCCGCGCCGCCTCTCTGGGCCTCAGTCTTCCGTGTGCCAAGAGGGCACTGGACTCAATTTTGCAACTCGTTCCGGTTCCTACCACCGCCGAGGCTGCCCACCCCACGCTGGCCTTTGTCTACCTCCCTCCCCTGTGCCAAAGAAGAGGAAAAGAAACTTGCGTTAGGTGTCCGGGGCGGGCGCACGGCTCGGGGCTGTCAGGCTGTGTGGGTTGTTGCCGGGTGAACGAACTGCACACAAATCCCAGCACCGAAAAAGCCCCACCTCCCCAGTCACCGCAGCAACGCGCGCCACGCCTCCAGTCCAAACACAGCCCGCGGCCCCGCCAAGGACCACCCCTGGCTCCCCCGGGACCCCTACTTTCCCTGAGACCCGCCCCAGCTGGAATGAGGAAAGCAGCCGATGCCCCCATTACGCGGAGGTGGAGACTGAGGCCGGGGCGGGTGGAGACCGGGCACCCCGTGGCTGCCGGGTCTGGACTCGCGCCCTGATCGCAGATTCTGGGCTCCCTCCCATTCCCGGAGTCACAGTCTGTTCCCTATCCGTGCGCGTGGACTCTTCACGTGGAAGAGACCCAAAGCAGCGCTGTCCCTGGGGAGCGGAGCCCAGCGGAGCTGTCCGATCTCCCTCCCCATTCTCCTGACGGAAAAACTGAGCCCCCGAGGGGGAACACACACCCCCGCCCCCCTCCCTCCCCTGCCGCACGAGACCCACTCTACCTGCGGGCGGAGACGCGCGGGTGGTTTCCTGGAATTGAGTGGCAAACCAAGGCCACCAATCGGCGCACGGGGAGGGGCGGCGGCTGCTTTGTATAATACTCGAGGCTGGCTAGGGATGGCGGGGGTGGATCTTAGGGGGCGGGCCCTCGAGGAATTCGAGCCAATCGTAGGAGGCGACAGCCTGCGCCCCGCCCCCCGCTACTGCGAAGCGGGAACTGCGGGCCCCCTGGTTCCAGGACTGAAAATCTCAAATCTGCTTGGCTACTTCTTCCTCCTGGGATCCGGGATCCGTCCGTCCTACCGCTGATGGGAGACTGAGGCCCAGAGAGTAAGGTGTTTGTGCACGGTCTCACAGAGCCACCATGAGGAACAATTTAAACTTTTACGACTGAAATGAACGGCTTAGAAACAGGAGCATGCACTTGTCCTAGCACTCGGTGGGTGTCGGGCTCTGTTGTAAGGCGTGACGATTTCAGTCCTATCCTGTGCCCTAGCAGGGTGTCAGCCCTCTCCCCCGCCTCGATCGTGTTCTAGTCCCAGTCTCCCCTGAGACACGCCTGGAAACCCAGGCCGGAGAGGGACGAGAACCTGTCCGATGTCAAGCAGAGACTGAAAGGAACCCTGCCTCCTGGTTTGCTGAAGCTCAAAGAAATACATCAGTAGAACTCATGTAATAAGCACTTCCGCCAGCCCTGCCGCGCAGGAGAGCCAGCAGGCGCTGGGCAGGAAGCGACTTGCCCGAGGTGCGCATCCGCTGCGTCTCTCCTCCTGGCAGGAATCTCTCCGTCCCCTGGGCACCTGGGGCCTCGCTCCCAGCGCGCCTGGCTGGCAGCAATGATAGCAGCTTCTGGTGGCTAAAGGCCCACTCTGTTCCAGCGGGACCGTTTCAGCTAATTCTTACAATGACCTACAAATTAGGTCAATGTTATAGTCCACCTTTAAAGATAGGCAAACTGAGGCTCGGACAGGTTAGATGACTTGCTCAAGGTTACAGAGCCCAGAGACAACCTAGACTTGAGGATGCTGAGCTTTGGCTTGTTCTCTGTGCTTGTACTGTCCCCATCTGCACCACTTAATCCATCACCCTGCCTTCGCCCAAGCAGCAGGGGCTCTAGGTGATTTATGAGCCAACTTGGCACTCACCCATGCCCCAGTACCCCCAAACTTGCCCTCTGCCTGCCGTCTCTTCTGTCAAGCTCCTGGCCCCAGGGCTCAGGGCACCATGGCTGGTATGTTCAGGTTGCCATCTAAGAGAGCTGTGTCCCTGGAGGTGAGCAAGAGGCAAGTCCTGTCTGAAAGATGCTGGGACAGAAGGGAAACTGAGGCTCAGCTCCCTGCTAAGGGTTCTGCAGCCAGTGTGGAGCAGACCAAGACTCTCCAGCTGTCCTGGCCTTACTTCGGTATTATGAAAAGAGATTTCAAGGCTGAGGTGGACCTCTGACACCCCCATCCTCACCATATTGGTTCCTTCAAAGACTCCAGGACAGGTATTTGTCCTGGGGTATTCGTTGCCTTTTCGAAAAGCTGGGCCCAGCCTCAGGCAGCTGTAGATCCCACCCTGTCCCTCCTGTGTGACTCTGGGCAAGCAACTTGACCTTCCAAAGCCCACTTCCAGAGGCATTTTTTGGGTTTAAAATTGCACCGGGAAGGGGCCCGAATAGCCTGCGGACTACAGCACTAGTCATGGCTGAGACTTCGGGAAGTAACAGTTCCTGAAAGTCAGTCTTGTCCTACTCTTCCCCAGTGCACATGGGGGGTGGAGGGCGTGCCTGGGACTGTCTGTCCCCTGAGGGCTGGGCCAAGTGGAGAGATAGCGAGTTCAAGACAAGAGCATCACAACCTGCCCAAAGGTCATAGCATGGGGCAGTGACAGCACAAAAGCTCCCCTTCAGAATGGGTGGGCAAGGAAAAAGTGTAGCATTCCCAAGGCCAGGCAGCCGCTTCTGTCATCGTGATCACATCCGGAATCATTTCCCCAGGGTGACCCGATAGCCACTGGCCAGCCTTTTCATAGCTTCTGGTGACTACTTGAATTCCCTGGCTGACCAGCCCTTTCTCTGTCTTCAGAGTCTAACCTCCCAATCACAGCTTCCATCAGCACCATCCCCTTTCCTCTCCTGTGACAAATTTTTCTCTGCCTCCTTTTTGTGAGGGGGGAGGGTAGGGGGTAGCAGGGATGGAACCTAGACCTTTGTACTGAGCCCAGACCTTTAGTCCTTTGATGTTTATTTATTTATTTTGGAGGCAGGGCCTTGCTAAGCCACCTGGGCTCTAACTTCTCCTAGCCTCCTGCCTCAGCATCCCTAAGTGCTAGGAGTACAGGCAGGTGCCGCCACACCCAGCTCTCCGCCTGCCTCTTACAAGAGCCCTGTGATCCCAGCGGGCCTGTGCAGCGAATCCAGCATCGTTTCCCCATCCCAGGACTTCAGCTTCTTCACATCCGCAGCTGTCCTTTGCGCATAAGGTAACTGACAGAGTCTAGGAGTGGGAATCTATTATTCAGCCTATCATATGCATTTTACTGGGGGGAGCTTGACCTGGGGTGAAATCACTTGCCCAGGACCACACAGGGCTTGGACCGGAGGCCCAAGGACACCCCCTGCGGCAGGGAAGGGTTAGTCCCTGCAGCACCCACACCCTGAGGACCTGGGGAGGGAGGGGCAGACAAGCCCTTGAGAAGGGCGAGGGCTTCAAGGACACCAGCTGCCTCTGGGGAATTCACGGCCCGGCCCAGGTAGTCTGCCTGGGCTGGAAGGGAACAGAGACAGCTAACAGCATCTTGAACCAGGCCATGGAGCTCACGCCCCCACATCCACCCCTGGCAGAGCCATGGGCACAGAGGTGGGCATAGCAGGACTTCCCAAACCCCTTCCCCACAAGGCTGATCCTGGGGACGAGAGGACATGGCACTGGGGCTGGCCCTGAGGCCACGCGGCCGACCTTCTCCGCCCTTGCCCTCTCGGTGAGTTTGCTTGCAGCACCCACGGGCCCTGGCTTCAGAGACAGCTGGACCTGTGAAGGTGGAAGGAACCTGGGAACCATGGTCATCCCACAGGTCTCACCCGGGGGCTAACAGGCACCAAGCCCTGTGCTGGCTGTCAGTGGAGACGACGTTGCCTCCCTTGCACTCCAGGTCCCCAGGCAGAGGCGGACACTGTTTACCGCCCCCTCCACCCGGCCTTTGCCTGAAATCCTGCAGTGTCTTGGATTCTCCTCTTTCCTGGCCTGCTCCCTTCTGCTCCCCTGGAAGCACTTAATGAATCACTCTGGGAGCCCACCTGAAACCCGCATTTTAAAACACGCATTCTGCACCATAACAGGCCTGTGTGGTTTTGACGGAAAACATCATCTATACATACGTGTTTTGTTCTCACACCTTCAAATAAGTTGCTCTGAGATGCAGGTGAGTCAAGCGCCCCTGCCGGCCAGCTGTGTATCCCCAGCAGAGTGTGGGGTGCGGAGTCCCAGGGCAGTGGTATAATGCTCTGGGTGCTCCCCATCTGTCCTATCTACCCCTCCCCTCTCTCCACACAGCAATCAAAAACCTGGCCACACAGCACGCCGGCCCCAACCTGGTTCAGATTTCTTTATTGAAAAATTAAAGTCATAAGCTCTGTATATAAATACACGAACGTTGGTGGTCGCCTGCAAGGCCTCTGGGATAGGCTGGGGGTGCGGCGGGAAGCTGGGGCCCTGGGGTCCCCGCGGTGCGGGGCGGGAAATAAATAATAAATACCACGAGGATAAGGAGCCAGGAGGAACGGGTGGGAGCGGGGCGTCTCGATGCTTATTTGTGGCACTGAAGGTCCTGCAGGATGCCCCTTAGCAGGAAGCTGCGTCCTCCGATTCCCCTGTGACCTCACTGCAGGCAGAGGCTCAGGTATCTGGGGCCAGGCTGCGTCCTGCCTGGCTAGCGGGCAGCAGAGCACACAGATTCGGACTCAACCTGTTTGCCTTGCCTGGCTCTCTTTTCCTGCTGATTCCGGTCCAATGGGTCAGGACAGAGTGGGGGGTGCCCTTCCTGCCACCCTGGCCAGCCAGCCCCGGACCCCTCAGAGAGCCTGAAAGAGCCAGGGTAGGGGAAGGACAGGGAGCAGGAGCTACACAGCGGTGGGAGGCCCTCAGCCCCGGCCTCTAGAGCATCACGTTGAACTCGGTGACCAGGAAGTCGATGTAGTCACGGTCCTTGGTCTTGAAGGCCTCGGCGATGATCCGGGCAGCCTCGCGGTGCTCCTTGCCTCGGAGCGTCAGCCCGTTCACTTCCAGGATCACGTGGCCCACCTTGAGCAGCCCGCAGTTGTGGGCCGAGCCCCCTCGCTGTGGAGCAAGACAGGGCGGGGCTCACCTGGGGTGACCGAGCCGTGGGCAGGCCTGGCTTTGGCCACCCGACGCACAGTTGGACACGGCCAGCTAGGTAACCACATCCTGCTGTCAAAACGGGATGGAGAAGGGGTGTCCTGTCCATGCAGCCAGACCCTTCAGGGAGGCTTGCCCCTGGGGACATACCTGAATTGTGACGATCCTTGGCAGCGGCTGGCGTGTGTTGGCCCCACCCTCAATGGCAATGCCCAGGGTGGCCGCGCTCTTCTTCACACGGACCAGGGTGGACGTGGGCTCCAGGAGTCCTGGCTGTGGGGTGAGGCCTTCTCAGGGAGCTGGCTTGGCCGTGGGCCTGGGCTGGACCGTGACCCATGCCCGGCCTAGCGGGGCTCAGGCTGCAGCCCACGCCGGGAGCCCCAGTGTGGCAGGGATGAAGCCGAGCACTAAGTGTCCTCAGCTATTTAATCCCAACAAACCCCCGAAGGCTTGGGGGTGAGGGGCTGCCCCAAGCTGCCTGGTGTGGCAACAGGGACTCCAGTCCAGGCCGGTCTGACCCCCAAAGACTGTCTAGTCGCTGCGTCATGGCAGAATGAGGGGACCACAGAGACTCTCAGGCAAGCCTCCTTTATCCAGGATCGGTGGCAAAGATGAGACTTAAAACAGGCCTCCAGATTCCTCCTGCAGGGTCCCCTCAGGATGCGGAAATCCCTCCAGCCATGGGGCACTCATCTCCCCTCTCCTGTGGTCACTTGCCAAGCTGCAGCCTGTCCCCAGGGCCCCCTGTTCTCCACCTGGGCCCTGCCTCCCTCCCTCCCAGCCCCGCACCTCCTGCCTTCCCACCCTCCTCACCGGTTTGTTGCCCCCCTCTGCGGTCCTCTCGCTCCTGGGTGGCTCCTTGCTGCTCCTGCTCCTGGTGGATGCCGTCTGTCTGTTTTGGCCCGGGGCACTGGCCTCCGCCTCGCCGGCATCCACACCGCTGTCCTCGCTCAGCGTCTGCCCACTGTCCGAGAGCTGGGACAGTGTGGAGGCTGCTGGGGGCCGGGAAAGGAGGGCAGGAACAGTCAGGGAGGGCTTCCTGGAGGTGGCAGTGGAGCCTGAGGCTGGAAGGCTGGGGGACTTCCCAGGCAGAGATGGAGGGGAGGAATGAAGGCACCCAGGGGCTGGAGGGCAGGGATACCCCTCGGCACCCTCTCCTCCTCCTGCTCCATCCGCTGTTTCCAGGACATCTACCGTGGCCTCCCTATCCTCAGCCACTGGCATAATGTTTAAAATGGAGGTCAGTGGGCAAGCCCAGCCTCCTGATTATGTTGTTTTGGTTTGTTTTAATTCTGAGACAGGGCCTCATTAGGTAGCTCAGGCTGGCTTTGAACTTCCCATCCTCCTGCCTCAGCCTCCCAAGTGCTGGGATTACAGGTGCCCCTCTCTTGTCTTTGTTTTTTAAATTCATGCAGAAAACATAATGATCAACACAACATAATGATTAACATACTCAAATCAGGAGATTTCACCTAAAACTAGTTTCTAGTTTCCTAAGAAAGAAAAAGAAGGTCTGCTGTACCTGGTCCATACCCCTGCCTGACCTCCCTGGCTGAGCTGAGGTGGGGCATATGGCGTCCGGGTGTCCTGTGACCAAGCCATCTGCCCCTGAGTCAGAGACCCCAGGTTAAGAATGTGTTCGCTGGAGTCTGGTGGGTCAAGTGCAAAGGCCCTTGGACCATCTGTGCAAGCGTGGGCAGTCACATAGCCTCTCTGAGCCTCGGTGTTCCTGCTCCAGTGCAGGAGCAGCGATGCCTCTGACCTACAGACCCAACATGTGGGGGCAGGAGAGCCGACGCGGGCTAGGCTGCCTGGTTCCCCATTGCTTGCTGCAGCTTAGCTTCTCCACCTGTAAAATGGTGAGGATACAAGCACCCTCCTTCCAGTCCCCTACTGTGGGAACTCTACATTCTGGTCCTAGCCCAGGCTGCCTGGCAGGACGGGTCCCCTTCCTTGGCCCAGATATCACTCTAGCCACAAGATGGCAGTAGAACCCCATGGAATGTGCCCAGGCCGGCTCTAGCTGAAGACCCAGGACAGACGCCTCCATTGCCTGGGCAGGTGGGCCCAGCTGGGCCCCACCACCCACTCTGTGCAAGGTCCCAGGAGACAAGGGAAAAAGGAAACCACCCCTGCCCTCCCTGTGAGTTGAACACAAGGGCCAGCGCTGGGGGAGCTCAGGGGGCCCCCAAGCCCCCAGTGACCCATGGCTCAGACAGCTGCAGCAGCTTGCTCAGGGACACAGCTAGTCCGTGGCAGAAGCAGGATCAAACACAAGTCTCAGGCCCCAAGCCACTTTAATAGTGGACCCCGACCAGGGGATGTCGGCGGGGAGGCCCTGGGGCGTCCACCGCTTCACTAGGGCACCAGCAGGCAGACTGCTTGAGAGGCCGGGCTGGCGTACTCACTGCGCGTCTGGGGCAGGGCCCGCACTTCATTCACGTCTGGCTCGCTGTCGGGGCGGTGCACCTCCACCATGACGAAGTGCTGGTTGGTGCCCGTCTGGTCTGGGGTGTCTGAGGGTGAGGGTGGCAGGAGGCACCCCCCAGCACCTGGGACCTCTGCGGGGGGGCTCTTCAGGTGCGGCGGTGACTGGACCCGAGGGAAGGGCCCGATGGGGTGCTGGTTGACCAGGGCCAGGTGGGCGTCCAGTGGCCTCTTGGATCCAGGGTTGGCAGGGGACACAGAGGCATAGATGGGGGAGGAGGGAGAGTCCTGGGCAGAAGAAGTCCCTGGGGTGGGTGCGGTGCCCCGGGGCGGGCTGTGGTTCCGTGGCGCGGAGAAGACGATGCCCGAGTGGGAAGACGCAGAGGAAGGAGCTGCGGGGTCCTCCTTCCCTGGCTTCCTCAGCTGGCCAAGCGGGCGGTCCTGGCCTTGGGCCAGAGGTGGCAGGGGAGGCAGTGGCCTGACGCTAGGCAGCCCCTCGGAGGGGGATCTCACATCGTCCTGCCAAAAGACCCAACAGGAGTAGAAGGAGTCAGAACCCATGGCGGCTGCAGAGGGGAGGCCGGAGCCGCTGCGCGGTGCCAGGCCCGGCTGGAATTCGGTCCCTGCTCTATCAGCTCTTGGCCACGCTGCTCTGAATAATGTAACAGCCCAGTGGAAAACTTCTCCTGAGCAGGAGCAGGGCGGCAGCTGAGGAGCGCTGGGATCTTGGCAGACGTCTCTGGGGACCTCACTGTCCCCTTTGGGAACTGAAGTTCCTGGCGTCAGCCAGGGTTGTCGCAGGCAACAGGACTTAATTAGAAGCAAGAGGAAGTGAACACGCAAGAGGCACATTTCTGTGGCTTTTCTTCTTAGGGGATTATCTGGGCTACTAGAGATGGAGAGTTGGTGGGACTGGACGGAGACAGAACGGACAGCAGGAAGCACACAGGGGCTGTGGTGCTGTGTGGCGCTGGGCAGGGCACCGTGCCTCTCTGAGCACATCTCTGGGCAATGGGGAGAGTGTTCCTGGCTGAGGGGGTGTGGCGAGCTGCATGCACGGCGGGTTAGCAAGATGCCCAGACCAGGCAGGTGCGTGGTGGAGGGCAGTGGAGGAGTCTGTGATTACTCCGCCCCTCTGCCGAGCCCAGGCCCAACACTTACATGGCTCTGACAGCCTTGCGAGCTCCCTGCCAAATGCCTTACTTCAACCAGTTCACTTACCCCTTGCCACAAACTTACGGGGTAGGTAGACTATTATCATCCCATACTACAGAGGAGAAAACAGAGCACAGACAGGCTCAGAAATTTTCTCAAAGTCCCACAGTCAGTGGAAGAGGTGGGATCTGAGCCCAGGCAATCTGGCTCAAGTCCACGCCATTCAAAAGCCATTAGGGTCAGCATCACCGAGTGTGGCGTCACATGTAGTGTCTACATCCCACCCAGGTGCAGGGCCGCTTGCAGGGTGTTTACCTGGTGAACACAGGTGTCTGTACTTGCTGCGGCAATGTTTAGGTAATGCCAAAAGTCAGCACCCACTTGGGCCCCCCTGAGTCACCAGGAGTGACCTGGCCGGGCTCCTGTGGGAGATGGCAGTGCGGCACAGACTGCAGGCCTGCAGCGGGTATGGGACGCGCGCAGAGCACGACTCAGGGGCCAGCAGGGCCTTACCACGGACACGTCGGGGAGGGCATTGGCCCCGCTCTGCACAGCCTCGCCAGTTTCCTCCAGGTCCAGCGTGTTCTGGAAATGCACAGGGGAGCAAGCTGAGCAAACAGGAGAGGAGATGACAGTCTCTCTGCCAGAGCACCCGTCAGCGAGGCCTTCAGACATTTGACATGCCCTGCTCTGCTGACATTTATTTTACCCAGTCCAACCCACTCTTCTGCCCGTAGAGGTCAGTCTTCCATTGGGATTTTCTGATCATTTTCAGCCCTCCCCTGAAGTACTTGCAGGTGCTGGGGTGTCTGGGCCTTGACTGGGCATTCCTGGGCCCGGCCTTGAGAGTCGGAGTGCTGTGCTGGACAGATTTAACGTCTCCCCAACCCAGGGACTCCCCGCCCACTGTGGGGACAGAACCCCAGGTGGTGTGAAAAAGGGGTCGAGCAAGTGAGAAATGCACAGAGAATACACTCCGATCTCTCCCTCTCCCCCGCTTCCCCGAATGGCTTTAATCCTGAGGGGCTGGTTTCAAATATAATTTGCCCTTATTTTGCAAAGTGTTCCTTCCTAACTTCCTTCCTTCTTTCCTTCCTTCCTTCCTTCTTTCTTTCCTTCCTTCCTTTCTTGCTTCCTTCCTTCCTTCCTTCCTTTCCTTCCTTCCTTCCCCAAAGCTCCCTCAAGTGACTTCCTCCTACAAAAAGTCATCTCTGAGTGGCTGAGCAGATCTCCTCTCTGAGCTGGGCGCTTGTGAGGAGTCAGGCCGCCATTTCTCTCCACCCCACTGAGCCCAGGATGCCAGAGAGCCTCTGCCACTGACTCTGGCTTTATCAACCCAGAGAGCTGGTAAAACATTTCTGGGTTCTTCTGCAAGAGACAAGCATTTGAAAGGGAAGGCTGAGTAAAGATCACCCTCCCAGATGTGGAGGGCATCGCCTCTCCCTGAGGCCCCCGTGGAAAAAATGGTGGCAGAAGGGCAAGTGGAGCTCTCTGGTGCTGGGGCAGCCATCTTCTCCTGCTCTCAGGGGTCCCTTTTTTTTTTTGCACAGAACCCAGGGCCTCGAACATGCTAATTAAATGCTCTCCCCCTGAGCCGCACCCCAGCACCCCTGCTGCCCTTGTTATGGTTTATGTGTAAATGTCCCCTCAGAGCCTCGTGTGCTCATAGGCAGGGCTTTGCGAAAGTGGTTGGATTATGGGGCACCCGTAGCTGACTTGGTGTTAGGAGGCAGGGTCTGGTCTGAAGAGAAAGGTCACTGGGGGCCGTGGCCCGGAAGGGTTTATATCCCTTTTCCAGACCGCTCTGTCTGCTTCCTGTCCACTGTGCATAAGCAGCTCTCCTCTGCCATGCCCCGCTGCCTTGGAGCCAGCCAACTATGGCCTGAAAGCCCTACAAACTGTGAGCCAAAGTGAACCTCTCCTCCTTTAAGCACTGGGTGTTGGGTATGGAGCCCCAGCCATGAGAAAGTGACCCAGACGGCACTGCAGCATCAGCTCTCCTGGGTCTCCCGCCTTTGGACGTGGCCTGGAACAATGCCACCCGCTCTCCTAGGCTTCCGCTTGCAGACCATGGGACTTCTCAGGCACACAGTGTGGGAGCCGATCCTCACAGGAAGTCTTTGTGTCACCGTGCATATCCTCCTGGCCGTTTCCGTGGGTGACACAGCCACCTGACTCAGGGCTCGGGTGAGCCATCCACGCCGAGCAGTCTCTGAAGCTCCCGACCGAAGGGGCTGGGGACAGAGGGGTCAGCAGGAGATGGCAGAGGGGACAGCCTGAGGGCAAGTGGCATTTGATGCCTAGGGAGGGGCTGCCCAGGAAGGGTTCCTAGATGAGGAGGTGCAGCTCAAAGCTGCATCTTGCAGGCGAGCAGGGCAAGAAGGGCAGGATGGGCAGTTCAGACACGGAAAAGGTGCCGCTGAGGTGGGAGGGAGGTGGAGGATGTTTGAGAATCTTCTGGGCAGCTGGCAGCTCCATGGGAGTCAAGCGTGGAGAAGCTTGGGCTTGAGCCTGAGGGCAGTGGGTTGCCATGGAGATGAGGTCAGGTTTGCCTCCTGAGCAGATTCCCTTTGCTCTGTCCCTTCCTTCCCCCTGGCTGCCGCCTCTGCCTGCCGCCCCGAGAGGCACGCTCTGTGTGCTCACCTTCGGGATCCTCCTCCCGGGGCACCTGCTGGATGAGGTCCGCCTGAACGCCTGATGGGAAATCACAGCCCCACCTCCACCCCTGCCAGCTTTCCTGTCTCCTTCCCACAGTCACTGTGCTCCAGCCTGCAGCCAGCAGCCAGAAGCATTCTGAAAACCTACGCAGGTAACACATCTCCCCGGCCCAAGACCCTGGGACCTTTCCATCTTTCTTGGAGGAAATTCCACACTTCACACCCACAACTGCACCCTTTCTCACAATTCCCGCCTGGCATAATGGGATTGTTCCCACCACAGGACCTTTGCACCAGCTGCTGTCTCTGCCTGCACCATGGTTATGGCTCCTTCTCTTACTTTGTTTAGCTCTGCCCTCATGAGGCCCTCTCAGACCAGCCCCAGCTACCACAGCCCTGCTCCACTGCCCCATCTATCCCTGATTTGCTTCTCTGTATAACACTTATCACAGCTTGAATTTCCTTTCTCTCTCTCCAACTAGGACATAAACTCTGAGAGGGCAGGACTTGTGACCATGGGGTCCCCACTCAGAATAATGGGTGCTTGATGAATATTTACTAGACACATCAGTGAGTCAGTGGGTGAGGGAGTCCACCCATGGCTGTGGCCACTGGGGAAGGGTAGGTGAGGGGGCTTAGTGGGCTGGGGGTGGAGGGAGGTGGGACTGTAGGTCATTGTGGGGAGTGGTCACGATGGTCCGGGGGTATGGACACAAGGCACCTGACTGCATAGCCCTAAGTCGGTCCAGCACACAGATCCCCCTGTCTGAGGACCAACCTGAGGCCAGAGAATTCCAATGAAGGCAAATGTTCCTATGGCCACCAGGGCCAGTGACAAACCCACCCACCAAGGGGATGCTTGGCCTTCCTGATCAGTGACACCAGCCCTGCCTTTGCCACCTCTGAGGTTTCTGTAAGATCACACATGGATCTGCTACTTCAGGCTGGGTGGGCAAATTGCAGAACCTCTCCGTCCTGATTCCCCTTCTGTGAAATAGGGTAACAATAGCACCTGCTTCGTGCAGGTGACGTGTTAGCGCCCCCACGGCTCTCACCTGGCATGACATACATGGGAAGGTAAGCGCCACACTCAGCAGAAGCCTTGCAAATATGCCTTCGCCTAAGCCCGTCCTCTGAGCCAGCGATAGCACGTGGCTCCCTGGGTTACACCAGCCTGTGAGTTTGAACCCGGCAGCTCCAGCAGGCCTTTCCCGAGACCCAGCGGCCACGGCCCTGGCTTCCACGGGAGGCACAGGGAGGCCTCAGAGGGGTCACCAGCAAGGACAAAAGGAACTACCGCCACACTCAGGGGCAGCTACCACCTGCTCCAGGAATTCACCCCACAGGCGGCCCTCAGGGGAGGCTCAGATAACAACTTGAGGCTTCCAAGCCAGACAGGGGTTCTGCCCTGCTCTGGTGCTGTAGGAGATTTGAGCATTTGTTACTCACTCAGCAAGCACTTCCTGGGCATGGAGACTAAGCAAAAAAGCTCAGGGAGGGTGTGACTTTCTCCCGGAAAGCACGTTAGAGAGCTGGGAACTCCAGAGGCCCATGCTGAGGGCTCTACCTACATCATCTCAGGGACCCCCGGTGACCCTAGAGCAGGGCTGTGAGTCTCCCCATCACATCTGCTACCAGGAAAGCACAGAGAGGGAAATGACTGGCCCAAGGTCACAGAGCCATTCTACAGCAGACCAGGGTTCTAAGCCAGGTCAGAGTCACACCAAAGCCCATCCTGTCCTTCCCTGCCCTGCCCTGCCCTGTCCTGCCCCAGCCTGGAACTAGATGGTGCCTGGAAATCCCAGGAGCTAGAGGGCCTCGGGCATGAGTGAGGACGCAGCTATCGCTGGCCTTGGCCTCAGACTCTCTCCTGCCAACAGTGGCACCCTGGAGCGGGGACAGAAGGTGGGGCTGGGGGAAGAAATTGAGCCTGAAGTGGAGCAAGCAGACGGCCAGAGCCCAGCCCTGCCAGACTCCATCTGCTGCTCCAGGCCCTCGGGAGCCCAATCCTCGTGCATCCAAAATAGCTGCAGACGGCGGTGGCGGCCCCTTCTAGCCTAGGGGAGGTCAGCAGAACAGCTCGAAGGCAAGCTTTGAGAGGGGGCTCAAGGTCAGAGTGCAGGTGTCCTGGCCCCCTCCTGGCACCCCTTGGGGACTTACAGGATCCTCCCACGTGGGATCTTTGCCCACTCCAGAGCTGGGGTGACTGAGGCTCAGAGACAGAAGGTCACCAGTCCAAGGTCACACCGCAAGGACAGGGCAGGACACCAAGCCCTATTCAAGGCCTGACTCAGCATCCCAGACAGAAAACCTGCTTCCCACAGGGCCAGGATGCCTTCAAGGCCTGTTGCCATCATCCCCTTCTCTTCCCTCAAGCCAAAGGGGTCCTTCAGGACATTCCCTTCCTGTGGGAGGAAAGAACTCCATTTCTACAGTCTGAGTCGGCCCAGTGGGGACCCAGATTGACATAAATCTGGTTTGGGGTCACTGAGAGGAGCAAAGTGAGATGCACGGAAGGGGATTCTGGAAATGCACAGGTAAGGCTTGGAGGGCACCCAGGGCCACCTCAGCAAAACGAGGCCCTTCTGCTCCCCGGCACCTGGGCCCTCCCTCTCTCGGACAGAGGATGCTTACATAAGGGGCTATTTTCAGCTCTTTGTTCTCCAGGCTTCATTACTCTCCTGTCAGGTCAACAGACTCCCCATTCCTACCCCAAAATGCACCTGAGACCTGAGGCTGGTGGCCCTTTCTCAGCCGGAATGTGCAGAAACTGAGGCACTGAATCACAAGAGCTGCCCGAAGGTCACAGGCTCAGACTTCTGTCCAAAGGGGTTGCTGACAAAGGGACAGAAAGGGGACGGAGAGTGGGGCGAAGGGAAGGGAGGGGTTCTGGAGAGAAGAGGCTGGGGTGCAACGGAGAGAACAGGAAGCAAAGAGGACAGACGCAAGGGGAGGCGTGGGCGGAGGAGCTTGTCACCGCTGAAGTAACAGGGGGACAGTGATGTGGGCAGAGAGCGCCAGAAGGACCCCTCACCTCTCCCACCACTGCTTTGGGTGGGCGTCAGGAGGCTGCAGGGCAAGGCCAGGGAGCGGCCTGGGAGACAGAGGACCTGACAGCAGGGAGCCGGGGTCCACCTGGCTTGGCTGGGACGCCGTGGAACAGCCCAGCGCCAGCAGCACCTGGCTTTACTTATCCACTTGTCACTCTGGAAGCTTCTTCATGAAGCCCCCAGGGATGGCGTGGGATGGGGAGCCTGGGGCAGGGCGTGGTGGTGCGGAGTCAGGTCACAGGCGTCACGGGCATGGTGACGCTGTTAGCTAGGCCTCACTCACTTCTGCTGAGTGGAAAGCTTCCGCGCTCTCCCTCCCCACAGAAAGACAGCATGACCCCCAATCTCCAGATGGTCAGGGCTGGAAGGAGCCTTAGGACAAACATGAGAAACAAGGCTCCAGGAGGCCGCGCAGGGACCCGAGATTGGGGCCATAGTCCACTTCCGTGATCCTGAGCTACCTCGGCAGGTCAGCCGCTGCCCCCCCAGAGAAATCACTGACTCTCCCGTCGCATCCCAGTCACTGCAGATGCCACGATTCGCAGAGACAGCGGCTACTGACCAGGGGCCCGGCTTTGTCACCGGGCGTGGTAATAAAGAAAGCAGCTTGTTCTACTGTGCGCTCCCATAGCTGAAAATGGGCCTTCACCGTGTAGTTGCTGCCTGGATTGAACCATGCACTTTATCTTTAAATAGAGAAAAGTGTCTTCCGGGAGGAGGCCCCAGGGCCTCCCAGCCTCCTGAGGCTCTGCCGGGTGGAAACATCTCCAGCACCCGGGTCCTCACCGTGGGAGGCAGGTGCGCTGTAACCCCCTGTAGATCAAGCAAAGCACAAGGCGGGACAGCCATCCCATTGGGACTGCGGCTGAGAGGAAGCACAGTCACCCTGGGCCCTGAGTGGCTCTGGGGAAGCACAGCCCTGCAGGTGTGGAGGGCAGGAGCGGAGGTCCCCCGGGGATGGAATGGGCTGCTCTACTCAAGGGGGGGCACACGGCCGTGTCCCAGCATGGCGGGTGCGGTCAGTCTACCCGACAAGTGCCTGTGCACGTGGACAGCATTCCCCCCGCTCGGTCACTCGGTGTTCTCTCCCGGCCCTGCCACGCACGCAGGGCAAACAGGAGCACATTTTGTACTGAACCCTGCGAGGCTTACACTCAGGTGCCCCCCTCCCCTTGTCCTGGTGACACTCTGACCCTGGCACCCTCCTTCACTCCGCCCAGTGGCTGCGGGCCACCAGCTCTGCTCTGGCTCCTGCCCGGAGTCACCTCACTGCTGCCTGGCAGAGGCCACACTTTGAACCTGAGCTTTTGCATTTCTCCCCCGATGCCCCAGTCTCCCGCTGTCCCTGCCCTTCAGTTGCGGCGTTGACGTGAATGCCATAGACTGCTGTATGACACACGGACTCCTCCCCTGGACACACTAAACCCCAGGGGTCAGGCTCGAGCCTGGCAGGGAGGACACGCTCAACACGTGCTCCAATGACCAAATGAATGAATGGATGGATGGATGTGTTCCACCCGGCACTGAGCAGGCCAGAGCAGTGGGAAGGTGCAGCGGGGCAGAGGCCCCCCGGAAACCTGCTTGCTGCCTCTGGGCAGAGCAGCACGATGAGCAGGGTCCCTGAGGCTGCAGGGCTTAAGCCTCTGCACCTTGATGGCCCAGGCCTGGGGAGAGGAAGCTGATGCACTCTGGCCCTGGTACACCCTTCTCCCTTCCTGCAGGGCACGGGAGGAGAGGAGGACTCTGAGGTCTTCCAGGGTAGGATGTGGAGTGCAGAACCTCTCAAGTCCAGGTGGGAAAGCCTCTCGACGCTAGGGCTGCTCTCAGCTGCTCTGCGGACTCCCTTTCCTCCTCAGCCCTCTGCAGTGGCCCTCCCCAGTGTAGACGAGCAGTGTAACTGTACATGGTCCACACCCGTACATCCATCTGCTCGCAATGAACAGACACCTGGTCTCCCCGGTCTACGCACAGATGCAGAAACTGAGGCTCAGAAGGCTTGAGTCACCTGCCCAAGGTGACCCGGCTACTAGTCTGGAGGGCCAGACCCAGACGGCTGAACTCCAAAGCCCGTGCAGTGAAGCCCCTCTGTCACGGCCCTGCTTGTACGAGATAAAGAATCCCAGAATTGCCCGAAGCCCTTTCTCACGTTGCTCTCCCGGCCAGCATCTTTACGGGAGAAAATGAGATGGCTTGCAGGCAGCCAGAAATGCTCAAGGCTGACTCTCAGTTAGACCAGTGGGAGCAAGTGTGGTCTGTCTGTGGGGACATCTGATTTTGATCAACCGCCTCTGTGTTTGGGGCACACGGCTGCAGAGCGAGTAACATCAAACCCGGCACTGACCACCCCCTCAGGGCCCAGGAACTGGGGCTAAATGGAAACTGGTTCCATCTGGGGCATCGTCTGGGCATCTGGGTCACTGGGAGCTGGCACCTGATGCTGCCTGTGCGTCTGAATGCCAGAGCAAAGGGCATGTTCTCTGATGTAAGAGGGAATGTTGAGAAGATAATCCTGCAGGTGCCTGGGGGCGTGGCTTCAGTTTAGTTTCTCTTCTGCATTTCCTGGGCTGGCACTGAGGAGGCAAAAAGGAAACAGACACTTCCTCCTGCGCCCCACAGGCTCTGCCTGAGTAGTGCGGAGAGAAACTGATGTAGAAGATAAAGAAGATGATGATGGGTCCTATACTGCAGATAGGATACAGGCGTGAGCTAGAGGAAAGGGACCTGGGCTGTTAGAAAGCAATGTTTTCAGTGGTGATCTGCCACAGTTTGGGGCTGTTTGTTACTTGGCATTATTGCAGCCCTAACACACAGTGGGGTGCTGCAGACCAGCACCTGGCGCTCCGTGGCAAATGAGTGCCACTTCTGCCTCTTTCTCCTCCCTGGAGGCATGCTGCAGCCCTGGTTCACATGCACTAGGTTTATGGGGCACAGCTGTCATTCCTTGCTGCACCGCCCTGAATATTTTCCACCTCCTTTCAACGCAGCGAAGACTCAGAATTGAAAGAATCCTGGGGCCCTGTCTTGGTCGTGCAGATGGGGAGACTGAGGCAAGGTGGGGGGCTCTCTGGAGGGTATATACTGTGCTGCAGGGCATAGCAGACGAGGAGCAGGTGAGCTTCAGGGTGGAGGGCAGGATGTGTGTGTGTGTGAGCTGTGGGGGTCTCAGGTGGCACCGGTGCCACTGCCCAGGTGCAGGAGGAGCTGGCACCTGCAGAGCCCATCATCCACTGCATTCTTGGACTCTCCTGCCTGCCATTCCCGCTCCCCTCTGAATTCCATCGTGCTTGTTGCTCCTGTGTCCCAGCACCTAGCATGTGGTCAGGACTCGTACGCAATTTGTAACAGAATGGAAGGAAGAGGAGGAGGAAGGGAGGAGACAGAGGATGGCGACAGACAGACGCACGACTAGGTGATCCCCGGCAAGGCAGAACCACAGCAGACAGCAAGGCTCACAGCACCACTCAGAGGCCACCAGGCCGGGTTCCCAGTCTCAGCTCCACCTCTCATTTCCTGTGTGACCTGAGGGGAGTTGCTTCTCCTCTTGGAGCTTTCGTTTCCTCCTGCATAAAATGGGGACCACAGCAGTACTGGCTGCCTGCAGCTCCCAGGAGGCCCACAGAAGGGATGGCTGAAATGCATTTGACACCAGGCTCTGTGCTGCGCACGAAGGGCAGGAGATGCGACATGGTCCCCTCCCTGAGCAGCTGGTGGTCCAGAGGGCAATGGGACAGCCTCAAAGAGATGAGGAGAATGTCTTGAGATAAGAAGCCGCTGCAGCTGGAAACCTGGGCCTGGAGCAGCCAGGGCTGCAAGTTGCCTCTTGAGAGGCTCAGGAAGGCTTCCTGGAGGAAGTGGCGCCTGAGATCTGGGCTATGGGCACACAGGACACAAAAGAGGGAGGGACAGCAGGCCCGACAGACAGAGCATGTGGTCTGGGCAAAGACTGAGAAGTCCCTCAGGAGCAGGGCACAGAAACGCTCTCCTCACTTTTGCAGAACCTCAAGCTCAGCTCAGAGAGGTGAAGCTACTTCTTGAGATCACACAGCAGGGAAGAAGCAGAGCTGAGATTTGAACAGTGGGCTTCCTCACCCCAGAGCCTGAGGACACCTGATGAACTGGTTGACTGGGAGCACCAGGAAGAGAACCCCAGGCCCCACCAAGGACAGGTGCAGACGTGAGGGGTGACGGGGAGGGCGATAGCCCCTGGCTCTGCCTGCCTGACCCCTGCTTCCCGGGTGCACACACACAGTCCCACCCTGCACAAGGGACGGTACCTCCATCAGGTCTATAAGCCACAGCAGCCGCTCCTGGGGGTGGCGGTGGGGGTGGGCAAAAGGCAAAAAGAAAAATACATCAAATAAATATGAGGGAATGACATGGCAGCAGCAACAACCCCTCTCCAAACATGCAACCTGCAATGCGCATGGGCACCCATGCGTGTACACACACACACACACACACACACACACACACACACACACACGCAAAACAAACCGGAGGTCTACCTCCTTTCTCAAGCCACCTTGACTGCTCTGGGCAGGAATGAAGGTGGGAGAAGACAAGGGAAGGCCCCAAACAGGCAGAGAAGGCAAGCACCATGTCCAAGGTCTCCCGTGCTCCTGAGAGGCAGATACTCCAGGAGCGCCCTGTCTGCGAGACCAGGCAGAAAAGGCTGGGATGCCAGGGAGGCTGAGCCCTGTGTGGGCAGAGAATCTTCAGTCTGGCACCCAGGGTGGGCTGAAGCTGGGAGGGGGCCCTCCTGGGAGCTACAGGCAGCCAGGACTGCGCTGGTCCCCATTTTACGGGGAGAGGCTATCCCTCAGCCCACCCCTTTCAGAGCCTACAAGTGTCCTCAAGGCCTGGGTGCGGAGCTCCAAGTGCCTTCCCCAGCAAGGAGCGGAGGGGAGGGGGGTCAGGAAGAACCAGGGCTTCTGCCCCGGGGGCAGGGTGGGAGGGGCATCCCCAGAACGCACAGGCTCCTTTCCCAGGCCACAGGCACTCTCTCACTTCCCAAGAGGCTGGGGGATGCAGTGTCATGACCACTTTGGATGGGAGGAAACTGAGGCACACACAGGCAAGGTGATTTCGCAGCTGCCTCCTGATCTGTATGGCTTTCTCTGGAAACCCACTGCGCTGGCCCTGGAGCTCACCCTGGCTTGGGTTCCTAACCCTGACATGCATGAGTATCTGCTCTCAAAATCCCCTCGCTTGGAAGCCATTCTGTGGCCTGAGCTCTTGTCCTCTCCCTCCGGTGCCCGGCTAAGGGACCCCTTCCGCGCGCACAGGCCCCCACCCTGCAGAAGGGACAGTACCCCCAGCGGGTCTAAAAGCAACAGCAGGTCTCTGAGCCTGAGCTCTGCCATCCTTGGGTACGTCCATTTGCATCAACCCCCTGGCAGGGTAGGGTCACACCTGCCACAGTGGGGACGGGGGGGGGGGGGGGGAAGCCCGAGGAAGTGTTTTGGGAAGGGAGACACCTCTGGCTGGGAAAGTAACTGTGAGCCAGTGGTGAGCTGGGGCTGGGGGCTTCTGACCCTAAAGAGATCTTTCTGGGCATAATATTCACCCTGCCCCCCCTGTCCTCCAGCCTGACCTGTCCTAGGGTCCTGTGATACTGTAGCCAGAGCCAGCAGAACCTCATGCTATTTATCCATGGAGAAACTGAGGCCCAGGGAGGCCTGGGCCTAAACCTAGATCAGCTTCCCAGAAGAGGAGACACCCCCACCCTCCACCCTGGAGTGCGAGTTCCCGACTCCACAGGGACCATCACAGAAGCACAGCCTGCACAGTGGCTTCCGGCTCCTCCAACTTCCCGTGGACATTTTCAAGGCCAATCTCAGTGGGAGCTGAACCCAGAGACAAAGGGTTCGGCACATGGAGTCTGGCGGTCCGAGTTCATCTCACTAGCCAGCCCGCAGCCAGGTGCTGCTCAGAGCCAGACTTGAATCTGGAAGGGGGAAGGCGGGCCTCGCCCTGCCCGTAAGTGATCTGCTCTTCCGGAAACATGAACCAGCCTCACTGCAGCCTGCCCAGAGCCTTAGAGGGAAGCACGGCAGCTTCTGGGTCATCCCAGAAGGGACAAGGACCCTTGGGGATGAAGGTAACAGGGATAGGAAAGAGGGGTACAGGTGGAGAAGAGCCCCAGTGGTAGGGAAAGGTCACACTGGGAGCTGTGTCTGTGAGACAGAGGGGGTGCATGCCCACCTACACCCACTGACCACGCGAGTCCAACACCCTAGACACACTGCAGCCTGCCACCAGGTCCCCAGATTGAGTTCCCCATTCTCAGCACCCAGCACAGGGTGAGAAGCACTGCTTCCCCACCCACTTCCATGGAAGAGCGGGGCTGGACGTCCAAAGGCAAGAACGGCGCGTGTGGAGGGGAGGATGGAACCACGGTGGCTCCCGGCCCCTAGCCCGACTCCTTCCCTCTCGTGGACGCCGGTGACCAGATGGATAAAGAGGCTTCTGCGCCTGCCCCTTCCCTGCAGAAGCCTCCTGAGGTGAACCTTGCTGTGAGCTTCCTGGGGCAAGAAGCACAACCTGGCTGGACCAGATGCTGTGAGGGGCCGGTGAGCCTGCGGGAAAGCCAAGCAGCACTGGGGCTCCAGGGACCAGAGGGGGCCTCTTGGGGAAAGCCAGAGTCACGGTCCACATGCTGTGACCACTGCCAGAGACTGAGGGACTGCCGGGGTCAGGCCTCTCGGTGCCAAAGACTTCACTGTGTCTCATTGGTGCCCCCCGCATTGTAATAATGTATTTGTCTGCACCCCCCACCCCGCACACTAACCGACCCCTGCCTCCCAAGCAGTAGGAACTCAGCAACTACTAGGTGATGACAGATGGAGAGACCGAGCTCAGAGAGTCACCGTAGGGAGCTGGGAAGGGTGGGGCTGGGATCCGACACCCCACTGGTCTCACTCCCTTCAAGCCAGGGACAGGGCACGGGCAGCTCACCCTGGCCGAGCTGACAGTGGTGGAGGTGCCGTGGCTTCCGGTGGACGAGCCTGTGTCACTGTAGGAAACCGTGGAATAGGTATCCCCAGCCCCGGGGCCTGAGGGCTGCCTTGCCTTCATGGACTCGATCTCCCGCCTCAGCACCAGGTGGTCGAAGCGGTCCAGGTCTTGCGGGGAGATGGTGCCTCTCACTTCAGAGAGGAGGGAGAACTGGAGTTGGGGACAAGCAGGACACTCAACGGGGAACGCTTCCAGCAGGAAGGCCCAGTAACCCTAAAACTCCCAAATCACCTGCATACAAATTTGACCTTCACTCCTCAGCCCACTATGGCTCCCCAGTGCCCTCGGGAAGAAGTCCAAACACTTGCACCTGGACACTGGGCCCAGTATCGTCTACTTCCTGCCTCGGTCACCTCCTCCTTCTCCACACACACACAGGACCGCCCGGCCTTGAAGACACCATGATGTCTTATGCTTCGAAGCCCTCGGCTGTGCTTTCCACCCCATCTCAGAGTCTTGTTTATCTCTACATCGCGTTTCCTGTCATGTCTTTCTGAATGTGCACCGTCCCGATGGACTGAATCTCTCCTTCCTCAGACTTCTACCACAGCTGGGGCTCAGAGCTAGCGATCAGCATGGTCACCCAGGGCTTTTTAAAACGACTGACTGCTGGGGCATTCACCAGGGCACTGCTTTTTAAAAGCAATTCAGGTGACTCTAAATGTGCACTCAGCATTGGGGCCAATCACAGGCCTTTGTCTGTGAACCCTGGGGTTCAGTGTGCCTTTTGGTCAGGGGTGGGGACACCATGGCTCCCAGCGGCTGCCCAGGGCTCAGGCTGGCCAACTCCTGGGAGGTGCTCAGGACAGGTCACCTTGGCGTGAGTGTTGAGCAGATCGAATAGGGCGGTGGCGAGGGCCTCCACGGAGATGCTGCCGCCGCGGTACTGGTCCAGGTAGTAGGCCATGGTGGCACGCTCCTGCCCGTTCAGCACGTGCCGGGCCTGCTCCTCCAGCAGCACGCGTGTCTGGTTCCCCAGGCTGCTCAGGGTCACCTGGGAGCCAGCTGGGCCTTTGTAAAATCCTGGCTGAAAGACAGGAGCACAGAGGCCTGGGGCTGCTGAGCTGAGTCAGGCCAGGCCAAGCCAGGGGCAACCAGCGGGTGTTGGGGGAAAGTTTCTGAAAGCTACCAGGGGGTCTGCACAGGGATGAGCCTACACCCTTGCATTCAGCCTCAGCTAGCTGCAAAGTGCTCACAGAGTGCCTTTTTCTTTTATTTTCTCTTTTCTTTCCTTTTTTCTTTTCTTTTCCGTTTTTAATCTTGAGCCCTGAATTCAGGGCTTTCGCACTGAACTCCGTCCCCAGGCCTTTTAAAATTTTTTGTTTTGAGACAGAATCTTGCTAAATTGCTCCAGCTGGGCTCAAACTTTCAATCCTCCTGCCTCAGCCTCCCAGAGTCCCGGGACTATAGGCACGTGTTACTGCGCTGGGCTATACAGTGCTTTCATTTTACTTCTGCATCCATTCAGAGGCCAGCACTGTTGCCCAGGGTCCCATTCATTCAGTAGGTTTTGACACCTCCCGTGGTAAACCAGGAACAACATCAGTACCTGTATTTCTAAACTGTGATCCAGATCTGCACGCACCCACACCCTGCCTTCCACTGCACCGCCCCCCCCCCACCAGCTGAGTCTAAGATGCCGTTCAGTGGCCCCTGGCCTGCTACTAAAATGCTTTTGTAAACACACCCATCTCTTCTCCCGTTGCCCCTGATTAAAAGGCGTTTTAATGGTGTCCATTATCCAGGTTAGAAGCCAGGCCTCTTTCGGTGGCCTACACAGCCTGAGAGATCTGAGCATCCTGCCTGCTGTCACGTGACGCTCAATCCCGCCCCCTACTGGCTTTGCTTTAGTTCCTGCAGTAAGCCGAGCCCTCTTCCTGCCTCAGGGCCCTGGGTCACTCTCCTCCCCTGCCCGCCCCACCCTCTGTGCCCGCTGCCTCTTCTCTCTTTCTCTCTCGGTCCCCATCGCCTCGCCTGGAGGGCACCGGGCATCTTTCTACTTAGGTACAGCATCTGTTGGAAGGTGTGCTTGGATTTTCAAGGTCTCTTTTGAGGGCTGTGACCTCCACAGGGGCAGGAACCCGGTCGGTTCTGTTTCCTGCCCTCAGCCCTGGAGAGGGCACCGTGCCTGGAACCTAGCAGGCATCCCCTAGGGTCCGGGGCTGCCCGGCTGAAATTTGCTCGGCACACTGCCCGGGCTGCAGCTCCCCCCCGGGGAGCTATGAAGAAGCTGAGGACACCCCACAGATGGAGAGGCCCTTACCTTGTTTGCTCCCTCTGTGCTGAGATCCCCCGGAAACCTGTGGAGAAAGACAAGTTCTTCAGGCACAGGTCCGAGCAGACGAAGTGGCCGAGCCAGGAAAGGCTCAGCGGGGGCCTCTTGGCAGACAGGTGGCTTCTGGCCTCCCCACTGACAAGGTGGACAGTGATCCCAACACCATGCGGGGCGCTTGCCTGCCTTGTTTCCAACCGCACAGGACCAAGAGCTCCCAGTTCAGCACTTAGGCGAACATTTGAAGCAGAGAGAAGGCAGCCTCTGCCATGGGACTCGGGTCACCCAGCCCTGGCGAGGGTGGGGCGGACACACCAAGGTCCTCAGGGACTACTCCATCCTTAGCCCACGTTGTCATGAAAAAAATGTAGGCTCAGGCAGCCAAACTTCCTGCTTTTTAAAGAAATAGCCAGAAATCCAGTTTTGTACAGGAAGCCTGGTGTCTTTTTAAATGCTGGCAACTAATTTCAAAGAATTCCTAACACTGTGTGATGACAGGAGGGAAGCTGGGAGGAGGGAGAAAGAAGAGGCTCCGGGGTGGGGGTGGGGGAATGTGCCAGGGAGCCGCCAGCCACGGGGCTGAGACCAGATGGAGCCTAGAGGTGACACGCACATGACCAGCAACTACACAGTCACCTGGCAACAGGGGTACCAGGTTTTATGACATCCGAGACTCACGCAAATTAACCTCGGGGTCGGCACTGGCAGGGCTGGGCTGGGGGCAGAGGTATGCTTTTCAGATGAAGCAACTAAGGCCAGCAGGATGAGTTGTGATCCGCCTGGCAGCAAATATACGACAGGGGTCCGGCTGCACATCTCAGCTTTCTACTCGGGATGAGGCCACAGCGTGAGGGACGGGCCCAATGTCACGCCCATGGACAGGAGAGACCTGGCTTGGTTGGGATACGGCCTCCTGGCTCTCAGATCCCGCCCTGGGGTCCCCCAGCTGCATGCACAGAGCCAGACCCTGGCGAGCCCACAGCACTCTCCCCGATCCGGGAACTGGCGATCCATTTGGTCTCGTCCACGGTGGTGCGCGCGTGCGGCAGCCTCCCCACGTCCTTCACCGTCAGGATGAGGTGCCGAGATGACTTGAGCAGCTTGACTGCCTCATCGTGCAGGATACTGAGAAAACTCCGCCCGTTCACCTCCAGGATCTGGTCCCCGACCTGCCGAGAGCCAGGCACAGCAGTTACCTGACTCACACCGGGGGCTTCACAGCCCTGACCTAGTCCTCCTTCAGCCGGCCTTACAGGGGGGTCATTGAGGCCCAGAGACGTCATGCGGATGCCTGAGGACCACACAGCGAGACAGTGGCAGAGCTTGCTTCTAACTCCGCCCCGAGCCCATGCACGACATTCCCTTAGGTCTCCTTACCTAGAAACAAGCCATCTCAGAGGCCAGAGTGAGGGGTGAATTTGGGGTGAGGTGAGGGGGAGGTGTGAGGGCAGACTCCATTAGATTCTTTATATATGTCCCCACGGCTGAGGGTTGTTACCTCAAGTACACTTTCTTTTAAAAAAAAAAATTAATGTGTGGCTGCTGTACAGAATAGTAACATTCATCCTGGGGAAATTATACATCCAGTAACAGATCTCGCGCATTTCCAATCCCCTGACTCTCCTGTCCCTATCCTCTCCCTCTCCCTAATCCCCTCCCCTTGCTGCAAGAGTTTACCTTCTAGTTTCCTGTCATCTCTCATTCATTTATTTATAGTTCAGGTTTCTCATATGAGAGAACACATGTGATATTTAACTTTCTGAGCCCGGCTTAGTTCGCTCAGCAAGACGGTCCTGAGCTTCATCCCTTTTCCTGCAAATGACACGACTTCATTCTTCTTTATGGATGAGTTCTTATATCACCTTAGCATGGCAAACAATGCTTTAATTTACTGAAGACAAAAAGCAATAAATGAGGCTACTAGCCTCCCACTGAAGCAACACATACTTGGATTCTCACAACAAGCCAGCAGTTTTATTTTGTAATAAAAAAAAATACAAACATACAAGCACATTCTTAATGAAAGGATTAAAAAAACCCCTAGTTTTCTGATAAAAATAAATCCATGACAAACAAAAGCCACAGAGGGACCTGTGGAATGATGACACTGAGATGGCATCTTATCCCAGCAGGGAAACTGAGGCCTGTGGGTGGGAAGGGGCTGCCGGGGTCCCAGCCTCCAGCTGAAGGGCAGCCCGGTGGTGCCATGCCCGTTATTCTTGGCTGCTTTTCTTCTCCTCCAGCCTGCTGACAGCACACAATCAGTGCCCATGGGTTTTTACTAGCAGTCTTTAAAGCCACCCTTGGAAAAGCTGAGACAAACAGGACTGGGCAGGAAGACGGGACCCGAGGTGAGACTCCAAGCCCCTGGTTCCCGAGCACTTGTCTGCAGTCTGGAGACAGAAAGTGGTTACACATGCAGACAGGACCTCTCCCCTTTACCTTGGCTCTGGTGGGCTCAGGGGTGGCACACTCCCTCTTTGCCTCTACCATCCAGGCAGTGTGGACCGTCCACATTGCATACTGATCACCCACCGGCACTGTCACACCCCCGTGTGCCAGGTGCTATGCCAGATGCTGTGCTGACCTGCTCAGGCCCCGTCCTGCTCACGCGTCACGAATGTGCTCAATCTGGTGCCATAAATGGATTTTCCCATCAGCATCTCCACACTGTGTCCCCGGGGCCCCCACACTGCAAGAATTCAGTGGAAAATCACCCAGGGGGTGAAAAGCACACTCACTCCCATCCATTCCGACCTCAGACCCATCTCTGCACCTGCCCAGCAGGCCCAATCGGATGACACCAGCCTCGTCTGTCCCTTCTCATGCTTCTCCTAAGTACACGTCCCGCATCTAGAGAGGCGGTGTTACCGCTTTCCATTCCACTCGTGAGAACAGAGGCTCCCAGAGGATAAGCAAACACAGGCTGAAGATCCCTTATCCAAAGCACTTGGCACCAGAAGTGTTTCAGATGTCAGAGCTTTTCAGACTTTGCAACATTTGCATACACTTTGCATTAGCATCCCTAATTAGAAAATCTGAAATCTGAAATGCTCTGAAACCTGGAACATTATGAGTGTCACAATGGTATTCAAAACCCAGATGTGGTGGTGCACACCTGTATTCCCAGGATTCTGGGAGGCTGAGACAGGAGGATTGCAAGTGCAAGCCCAGCATAGGCAACTTAGTGAGATCTTTTCTCAAAATAAAAATAAAAAAGGGCGGGCGGGGGAGCTGAAGATGTAGCTCAGTATAAAAGCCATAGGTTCAATCCCAAGTACTGCAAGAAAAAAAAAAAAAGGATTTCAAAGCATTGCATTTTAGATTTTCAGATTAAAGATGTTTAACCGGTAGTTTTGGATCACAGGGTTAGTGAATGAAGATTTGGTTTTTTTTTGTTGTTTTTTTGGTTTTTCTTCGGTACCGGGAACCGAACTCACGACCTTGCGCTTGCCAGGCAGGCGCTTTTGCCGCTGAGCTAAATCCCCAGCCCGGAAGATTTGTTATGGGACACAAACACAGGGCCAGTTGGCTCCCACACCCATCTGCTTTGTGCTACTGGGCTACTGCCAGGTACTCTTGGGGACCACACGGTATCACTTCACATCCAGCTGATCCCAAAGCTACCCTCTCGCCACCCTTCCCTAGCCCTGCCTACAGCAGCCAGACCTGAGACGCCGCCCCACCAGCAACTCTGTCTGTAGTTCTCAGAGAATCTCCTTCATCCAGTCCCATCCAGTTTCCTCCTGCCCCTCATCTTGCTGGCCCACTCCTGAGCCCCCACCCGCTGCTCCTAGGTGCCTGAGCTCCCTCTCACCATGCCCTGACAACCAGACTGGCCACAGGCATGCACCCAATGAATTTCATCACCACTCTGCTTCTGTGATACCCGCCCTGCTTACAAGCCTACCGAGACTTCCCCCGACCCAGGAGACAGCAAAGCACTGTGGTTAAGGGTTCCTGACACTAGCAGCCCTGGGCTTCATTCCTGGCTCCGCTACTTCTATGCCATGGGGCCCCACAAATCCCCAATAGCTGCTGTGCCTCACTCTTCTCAGGTGTCAAGGGGGCTCCTAGCCCAAGACCATCCTTCTGGTTTCTAGCTGGCAGCAGGTCTCAGCGCCACAGGCTTTACCCCGCCGCTGGCAGTGTCTACAGTTCCTTCAACCTTTCTGTATTCCTGAGCAAGCTGGCTGAGGGAGGCCCGGGTCCTTGTGAACTTTAGGCAGCTCCTTGTAAAGGGCTTGAGGTGACGGATGCAGATGTGGCTAAAGGGTGGAGCACTTGCTAGCATGTGAAGACCCTGGCTTCCATTCCTAGCACCACACAGAAAGAAAAGAAGAAAGAAAGGAAGAAAGGGAGGGAGGGAAGGAGGGAGGGAGGGAGGAAGTTAGGAAGGAAGGAAGGAAGGAAGGAAGTTAGGAAGGAAGGAAGGAAGGAA